AGACCGGAAACTTCGTTGATACGGGACCGTTCAAGATTTTCACTCTGTTTACACACAAATTTGAACGGCTAGGCGTCTGATTTTTGTGGTTCTGTGTGAACTGAATACCTAAACGCGCGAATTTTTAACCGGAAGAGAATTCGTCCGGTTCCGAATGAACAAAGACCGGAAGGTTTTCCAGGTTGTCTGTCCATTGCTCTATTGGGCCAGTCACGGGTCGTTAGTGGATGTATGTATTGCTTTCAAGAGAGCGTTGACGTGTTTGTTTCTGGGGCAGCATTGAGCTACTTTTGGTGTAAAAAGTCTAAAAGTTTCAACGACTCTCGCAAATTCTAAAAACGTTGCGTAAGGGTGTTGTAGAAACGAAATTTCGTCGAGTGCTAAGTACTATTAGCTGTCATTTTGATTTAACTTTGGGTCTATAATTAAACGACTACTTTAAGTCGTATAATGAATCAAGTGATGCTTCAGTTAGTCGATTGGTCAGTCCTCAAAAGCTTGCATATGTAATCACTCGAACTACGTGACACTATTTACTCGTTTGCAGGGGTTGAATCTTCTCAGCTCACCTTCTAAAGCGTACGATGAACAAGGTTCCTTACAAGGTTGGTTATATACAATAATTAAGAAAAAAACTTAAATTTATAAACCATCTTACAGTATATTAACCAAGGTTTTCCATTCCGCGCACAATACGGACACTTTGCCATGTCGCTTTGGCATCCGTATTAACAGGGCTTCACTGTATGTCTGTTTCTCAAAGAATTCTTAGAAATTGAGTCATACAAAATTGATTTTATAATTACAGAAGAATCCCCAAGAAGAAAACAGAAAGCAGGAAAAAAGCGAAAAGTGCAGGAGATGATGACTGAAGGTATACTAAAGGTCATTTACATCCATATTATACAGTTAAACCGCTCTACAATGGCCACCTTGGGACAGAAAAAAATGGCCACTGTAGAGAGGTGTCCGTCAGTGGAGATTCGACTGTTGTTGATAACAGAAAAGAGAGATCTTATTTAGTTCTTTAAATTCCATTTTGTTGTGACACCCTTTCACTGCAAAGACGAAAACTCATTTGGTTTTTCCCTATTTGTTCATGTGAAGTTTAAATTATGTAGTGTTCTATTAATTTGGATTAAACACTCGCTACTATTTCGGAATACAGTCGAACCTCCACTAACGACCACCTCTACACAACGGCCATCAACGACCACTTCTCTACAACGGCCATTTTTCTTGGCGGACAGTCAAGATAAAAGGTAGTTATAAAGGTAGTTATAAGGCTGTGTTTAAGTTGATATTTTCTAGTGTTTGTCTGTGGCTTTAATGTTAGCAAGGGGTGGACCATTAGAAAAGTAATTGGGGGTTATGGATTTGCGCGAATTTTGTTTCGACCAAGTAAGGTCAAGTAACTGTATATAGTTTTCTTTTTGAGGTGAAATCCTTGGCACAAATTTTGTTTGGACATATACGTGTCGTTTCATTTTTTATTCAAACAAGACGCCTAAAGTCGTTTCCGTGGGATGCGTTGGTCTATGGAAGCACAATGGCTTTCTATCTGAATTTGGAAAAATTAGGAAACCGGAAAGATGTGTCATGTTCTGAGCATCGATGAGTAGGTTACCTGTATGGGTTGGTTTAATGTGCTTATGACTGAATTTATAGTAGCCTACGTGGCAGGCTACTATTTCTCCCCAATCCACATCCCCTTTTTGCTTCCTCCCTATCCCCTACCCCTTTCGACATTGATCGCAAGGATGGAGTTGATCTTGTTTTGATCTATCGCTATGTGAGTTTCACACACGCTATACTTTATTTCATGCACATCATTTTGCCATCTCCACCCGCAAATAGCAAAAGCTAGACGAGGCGGGCGGTACCACGATTTGGATAAGAAAAAGAAGTTGTTTTGCATCAAAACAAGGTTTACCAGTATAACTTAAACTGGAATGTTAACGGAAACAAGTAATGGAGAACATGCGCATAATGCTCTCTGATTAACCTGAACAGGAACTATATGTATAAAGATACGTCATATCTTGGTAGTAAGTTGCCACAGGTAACTTTTTCAAAGGGAAATAAACATTGTAGTTTTAGGTTAATGGAACAAAACAAAACAAAACATCCGCTTGCTTTATCCAAGGTCGTCAAGGTCGAACCCAGGGTTACAAAGTTCGATAAAGTTCCAATGTTTTAAGTAATATATCAAACATGAGATGCAGTGTTTCATCACCAGATGAAACACCGAGAAGAGAGTTGAAAATACGACGCGCAGCTGAGTATTTTTGACGAACTTCGAGGTGTTTCATCTGGTGATGAAACACTGTGTCGAATGTTTGATATTTCTTCTCAAACAAAATCATTTTTGAAGGAGAAATTAAGGATGCAAATACTAAGCAGTGTTTCATCCGATTTCCAAACACTCATTAAACATTAATTTCCTTTGTATTTTCTCAATGAGTTATTAATGAGTTTGAGAATCCAAGATGAAAGTTTAATATTCCAATGTGTTTCCAAGGTCTCAAAGTTAACATAGTTCCAATGATTATCCCTGATTCCAAGGTATAATAAGTTTACTACGGTCCTGATCCGTGTCCGATCCAGAAGTCCAATCCATGCCGAAAGCGAGTCGTCGATCGACGAGGACGATATTTTCGCGATTTCACCGCCAATCGTCAAGGGTACGAGTTGAAATTTACGCGATTTAACCTCCCATCTTCAAGGTGTTTTCGATAAGAAAAGAAAAAACTGAACTCTAGCTGTGCTCGGCAAAAACTGGCGAACTCCGAATAGAAAAATCTATCGGAAATCACGGCCCGCAACCAGACGCTACTACAACCTTATGAAAAAGCCAGACCAAAACAAAAAAGAATCATGAAGGGAAGAAATAATTTGGCTTAGGTCGCCTTTCGTGACTTGCCAGTATCCCGAAGGATTTCGCTGGTTAACAAGCCATCCTAAACCACGAGTGAGAAAACTCAAGGGCGACAAATTTGGCAAGGAACGTTCTGATTTCAACGTTCTTCAGAGGAAGCAAATCGATTAAACATCGATACAGATTTTGTACAATCTGATTGGTCGGCTTAGAAGAAGAGATAATCGATAAAGATTTTACGCAATCCTATTGGCTGGCTTTGCAATTTTGGGTACAACCGAACCGGATTTTTACCGTGGGAGTGCCACAGGCATCCCACGGAAAAAATGTTTTAAAAAGTCACAGATAGCATACTGTAAAGGCTATTTTTTACATGCAGATACTTGATGTTTTGTAATTGACCTCTCCAAAAAATACCATAACATACTATAATGCTCTTTGTTTGTCACCCCCAAATTTGTTACATAAGCGTTGTTTTCAGTTTCTCTATGGTATGTTATGTTTTTGGAGTGGTCAATTAAAATTACAAGACACGACAATGTCAGCAATTTTTTTCCGATAAGTGGAGGCTTCCAATGAGACCCCTTTCAAAATAGATCCTCGGAAATGAAATTTCCAACATTCTGGGTGGGGCTCTGACATTAAAAAGAACTGCGTTCATTCGCGATTTGCACATCTCCCATAATATAAACCTGACATCAGGCTCTATTTTCGTTTTGCTTGGTAAATAAAATTTTGGCCTGCTGGCGGGAAAGCCGAAGCGCGACCACGTAAGAGAGAATGTATGGAAGCTGCTAAAACTGGGCATGATCTCGGGTTACGCATTATAAACCTTGTTTGCCCCATAAAATTTTGCATAACTTTTTTTTTAATACTCTTGGGTAGAAATTGAAGACAATGCTCACGCAATATTTTTGGGGCAAACAAGTTGTGTTATGGGAGATGTGCAAATGGCGAACAACATTTTTCTTTGGAATATGGCCTTTTTTAATGGAAAATAGATTTGAAAACAACAAACAGACAATTGATGTTCTTTCCTTCCTTATAAACTCGCGGAAGCAGGAAAACAGGCTGCAGTACTGAGGCCCTGTGGGTAGCGATAGACTTAAGGTGCTGGTAGACACCACGCAGTACTGGAGAGCGAACTGCTTCACAGTTTAGCGTCCTCCAAAAATTGTCCGTTTTAAAATGTTGTTTTGAAGAAAATCCGTTCTGTGCAGATGAGGCCAGGAAAGAAGAAATCTTGTTCACCTTACACGTTTTGCACCCCATTCTGAAATTGGGGCGGATTGTAAAGACTCGTAGGTCAATACAGGAATTCTTTTCAAGGCGGCTAATTCGCGAAATTTTTCCCTTCCACGAATTTTTTTTACTTCGCCCAATCCATGTTATGATAAGAAAAGTGGAAATCTGTATCTCTTCGACTGTCTGAGAACGGTATCAAATGTTTTCTGTATTTAGTTCCCAGAGAGATCAAAGCACAAGGACCAGAAGCAAAGCTTGCTTATCGAAATGCCTTGAAGACTGGAAAGGTAAAAGTGTACCGTGCTCGAATCATGCTGATCGGTCAAGATCGAGCAGGCAAGACAAGCTTAAAAAAATCGTTCTTAGATCTACCATTTGACCCTGAGGAAGACAGCACTGATGGAATTGAAGTTGATCCATCAAAATTCGAAGTCGACGTCGATCAAGTAAAGAACTGGAAACGCACCGATAAAAAGCTAAGTGTGTCTCAATTTGCCTTGGATCTTGCAAAAATGGTGGCTAAAGAAATACAGGAACGAGGTAAAGACAAAGAAGAAGATGATGAAGAGGACTGCGACGACGACTACGAGAAAGAAGGAAAAAAACAAAAAGCAAAAAACTCAAAGCTGGATTATCCTAATGAAGATACAAACAAACAGACAAAAATGGGTCAGGTTAGTGACCAAAAAACAACCCTAAATTAAAATACGAACGAATCAAACCAGGAAGGCACAAAAAAAAAAATCAGCAACAACAATAAGAAATTCTTCATACCTTAACAGACTACATGATAAAAATTTCACTGGTCTACGTAGCTGTCGAGTGTTGTAGTTTTTTGGCGACGAAGTCGCTAGAAGGTTTGGATTTTCCCTCGAGGCGTCTTCCACGAGCTTCTACGTGGCAGCAAGAAAGTGCCCCGGGCATAACAATCCTGCCAGCTACACAGGCTGAAAATTCACTTGCTTGGTTATCTTCATCCAAGTGCAAATAACCTGTTGTGGACTAGAATAGCAAATCACCAGACACTATTATCGGATCGTTTATATACGTTGTGGTTCAACTTTTATCCTTGATTTAAACTTTGTTTTAAACTCATTATCATACATTACCATACCCAAAGACAAAGGGAATCAAATTTAAACCAAGGATAAATTTGAACCACAACATATGTATACATGTATGTGAAAAATCAATTTGTCAGTAATCTGTTAAGTTTATATGGTGATTCACTGTTGTCAACCTGAAACGACTAATGTATTTATTTTTATCAAAACTTGTAGTCTGGTCTTAACTCTCCTGGAGAACCTCGATTGTCAAAACCGCCAGTGGTTAACTCCCAGATGAATCAGGTAAATATAACGTTTCTCTGGTTGTAGCCTAAAATTCTCTAAACCTTAATTCATTATGAACTTCCGTCAAAAGAATTCAAGAAAGGGAAGTTTTTACACACACCAGCCCGGGTTTCAATTTTCAATTTGGCTTAGCCTTTATCAGAAGATAACGGAAAATATGATTACTACACTAAATAACAGTACGTCGTTAGCTAACTAGAATGTAAAAGGAAAAGAAATATTTAGCGTTGTTGCAGATCCAGTTTTCTGTTTTTCTTTCTCTTTTTTGCGATGTTTTTCGAAAACAGGTATTCAGTAGGACAGTCTCTCTCCTCTTCTGACTTATAGGTTTGATCATTGCAGATTAGGCTTTATTGTACCAAGGCGCCCTCACTGTTCCAGGACAGTAAGGCGAAAGGAAAGTGGGAATTGTAATGATTGTGAGTCGTCTCTTAAGAAACTATCTCCTGAAAACTTTCTTTCATCTTGGAGTAAAAGAAGGGGAAAAACAAAGTGTTGTGTGGCCGGGAATGTGACTTTTCTTTAAAGCAAAAACTTAATGAGCCTACGTATAGTGTACGTTAAAGATTTTGGGTAATAGTGTTATTTTTTTCTGGCTAACTCCAAGCACATGAATTTTATTCGGTTATAGCCTGCTGTACAATAAACGTCGTGTTTTTACAAGTACAAATATGTACCCAGGTGTATTTACAAAGCAAGTGCCTTAAAAGCAACTCGCTAACTTCTTATCTAACACTTGACTTTAAATTTTGACGTGTTATTATGGAAAGTTTGGTGGCTATAAATAGGAGCTAACCATTTTCAAATTAATGTCTATTAAGAGAGGATCTTGTGCTTATCTATTAACATTACAGGTCAGTGCTCCACCCCCAATGGTTATTTTTTGCTTATTCAGAGCTTTATATTCCTTGTGTATTTACTGTAATGAGTAGTATAATGAATTACAGTGTGTAACCTTCACATAGTTTTAACTCTTCGTCTACCATTGTTACCTTACCAAGGGTACCTCGCGCTTTGCTTATTTCCAGTTGTCCATCTGGCGTGATCTCTCGAAGTGTGTCTTGAAATTATAAACATGTTTAAAAACTGGAAAGGCTGCCGTTATCAGGGAAAGATTCACTTCGGAACACAGTTGCAGTACAGTTTGGTACTAACAGATATTATGTTGAAATATCTCGTGTATCAATATACACGCACGATAATACAGAATATCGATCTTTTATTCTGAGAGAGACAAACTGAATGAAAGGACCGTCGCTTGTAAAACTCCCCTTAGTACATATTTTGTTATAATTGTCCAAAAGGTACATGTTAACCAATTTAAACACTTTAAACAATTTAGGACACATCCAGGAAAGCGAGAAAAGAGACAAAGACAGCAGCCCCAGCCGTTGAATTAAACATCGACGCTACTCTGCCCCCAGAAGAATTTACGGATTATCTTGATCAAATTTTGAAAGGTCTAAACCTTCAGACTGATGCAACAGCAGTTGAACATCACATGATCCTTGATCTGTGGGACTTTGCTGGTCAACAGCTGTACTATGCGTCTTACCCAGTTTTTTTATCGCCACGAGCAGTTTACATGTTGGTTTACGATCTCAGCAAAGGATTAAACGACCTAGCTCAACCTTGCTTTAAACAGGGAGATCGGAAAATTCCTCTCGGTAACCCAAATAAGGAAACGAATATGGAAAATTTGTTGTCTTGGCTGGTTTCAGTCAGCAGCATTTGTTCATCAGAATCAGAAAAGGCAGTGAAAGATCAGCCCCACTGGCGCCCTCCAGTGTTCATTGTAGGAACACATGCGGATAATTTTAAACAACATCAAGAAGACATCGACAAGATCGAGTCGCAGATTAAGAGGGAAATATTTGAAAACAGTCAAAATGTAATCCGCCCTATCTTCTCGGTTGACAATACTCAAGGATCGTCTGATAGGGGAGTTAGAGCGCTCCAGAAACGCATGATTGAAGTTTTGAAACAAGAACCATACATGGGAGAGGAGATACCAATTCGGTGAGTTTTTAGTGGAGAATTCTGAAAAAAAGGTTATTATAACTTTAAGGTTATTATAACTCTAATGTATAACGATATATTGACTGAAAGTGATAGACCTCTGATAACAGATGTTTAAGTGGTTAGACGTAGAAGTAAACTCGCACCAAAACTGAGGGTCTCATTGTTTTACATGCGGAGGGGATGGCTGCAGTCCCTAGTGTGGGTTGTTGCTATGTTATGATCTCCAAGATAACGCTAATACCTATCATGTGTTGGTGTAACTGGAACCTGTGGAGGTCTTTTAAAAATAAACTAAAACGAAGTTACCGTAAATTTCTGTTATATGAGATAGTTAATAGTAAGGGTCTGGTTATTTTTTTATGGTGTAAGGAGGGCAGGTGGGATTTAAAGCGTATTTCCTGAAATTTGACTCCCCTCGTCGTTTATACAACTATACTACATTAGAAGATTTTTGTACTTGGTCCATTGTAGTCCTTAATATTTGGGACGAGCCTTCCCCTACGCTTTTTCCACGTAAGGAATTGAACAAACAAAATAATCAAATACTGTTAAGTCTAGTCAATTTCATCAAACATTGTAGCCTAGGATCAGTCTGTACAGGGTATTAAATGTAATTTTCTTGTAGGAACATCAAATGATATCGTTCCTGGAAAATTTTAATATTCAAGCGTTTCTTACATAATTGTCGCAGTTTGATGTTTTCTGAAGTGCGGCACAGATCAACAACTGATGCCTAAAAAAAGATAGTGTTGTACCACGATGTTTTGCTTTTGCTTGTCAGTGATTTGTGAAACACAAGGAAGCGTGCAACAAATAATAATATAAAAAAACATCGAAAAGTCCATAAAGCACGACATGTAGCCGAGATTCATGTGGAGTACGGTCAATGTGGAGGTGCTTCATTTGACAGGGCCTGTCAAATTCGTCTTAATTCAAGGAGAACGCACTTGTAGAATTTTTTTTTCAAATAAAAAGATGAATACCTTTACTTGTTTCGTTGTTGATTTATTAAAAGATGAGTTTAAGAATTATATGTAATTTTAATTATTGTACTTATTAAAACAGCTATTCTGCGTTCCATTTACCTTATTATGCCTTATAAAGTTTAAAAACCACTTTCCCTTTAAACCACTTTCCCTTTCAGATGGTTCAACTTCGAGAAGGTTGTCAAAGCTTTGGTTGCCAAGAAAGTGTACCATTTAAACATGGAACAACTTCAGACCATTATCCAGAAACATTGCTTCATTGAAAACAAGGATGAGGTTGCCACAATGTTGAATTTCTATCATGACCTCGGCGTGATTGTCAAACACGGCAACACAGTTATACTTCAGGCTGAATGGCTTATTAAGCTGTTCAAGCAACTCATAACTGTTCGCTGTTTTGATGGCATGGTAAGAAGAAAACGTCAGTTGCATTTCCACACCCTCAAACTACAGTGTGGCTCTGACTTAAAATACGATCTGACTAGTCCTAGTGTGTTTTGCCTATGTTTTGTCCTAGTGTGTTTTGCGTATTGCTTTTTGTTGATTGCTTTCTGTTAGTGCTGGACTGACTGATTCCATTGATTCTACTATTAGCGGCCCTACCTGGTGCCCTGGACCTAAAAGCATGAATTAAGCGGACACCCTCTATTAAGCGGAAAGTAGGCAAAGTCTTTTACAGTACTGTTTTCTCATTTTGTTTTGTTTGTACAGATCTTATTTTACTCATTTGATCCCCTAAAATTTGAGGTACAATCTTCTTTTAAAGTATTTTGATTAATTGGTCCGCTCAGATAAGAAATTAATGCAAACATATATTGTCATACTCCGAGTCTCTAGGAGTATTCCAAACGTTTCCACCATTCATTTGAATGGTATTTAACTCCTAACATGACATTCTCTACCGAAACCTGTATAAAGCGGACACTATACCATTCCCCAAGAGTGTCCGCTTAATGCAGGTTTCACTATATCATGTTGCCAGAAAACGCTTTCTTCTCTTGTGTATCCTCCCTTGTCATTACCATTGCCTCACATGTGTGTTTTATTTTTCATTGTCATTATTTTTCAGGAACCAAGGCATTGTACATTGTGGAAAGAAATGGAGAAAACAGGTGTTCTTAACATGGAACTTGTTGAACACGTGTTTTCCGAGTTTTGTCAGCAAGGAGTAGCCAAGGAGGATATTCTTAAAATGATGATGAAGTTTGGATTGATCGTGCAATTTGCCCTCTCACCAACAGAAGAAAAATATTTTGTACCATGCCAACTAAGGTCACCTCCTGACAACGTGTGGATAAAGGAACTATCGCCTGGAGATCCATGTCCACTGTACCTTGACTTTCAGCAAATGGGCTACGTGCCTCATGGTCTCTATTTACAGCTTGTGTCACGATGCACCAAATGGTGCTCTACGAGTGGATTCAAGAGACCCCCTAAATTGTACGATGGGGCATCTATGTTTCTCATTGGGAAGGAGCTCACTCACCACATGATGCTTGTGTGCAAGAAAAGATTCGTCAAGGTCGTTTTGAAGCAAATAAAACGAAATGATGGGTCCTCATGTGAGCCGGTATCAGCCAAAGAAGTACCGTTTCTGGTACGAACATTTTTGAATGAGATGATGCAAAATCTGCCAGAGGCACTTCCCTGGCTTAAAAATGTAGCTTACAAACTGTGTGTTAAGTGTCCTTATTGCCTGAAAGTGGAAAAACGATGTGCTAATCATGACCAATTCCCTTGCCACGACGAGCGCTGTTTGTGTCTTCTGACCGTTGCGCCAGATGGATCTTGCGAGTACTGTTTAGAGAGCCATTTGGATGAAATTCTTCCGCTTCCTGAACTCAAAAGGTGGTTCCCGAGCGGCAGCGAGGATTCCTCGATCAAAGGTGGGGCTTATAATGATAAAAAAAGGTTTCTCTAAAATTTCAAAGTCTTAAATTATTTGAGTTTGCGTCTTGTTATTACCCAGTATCATGGCCGTAGTTTGTCAATAGAGGTAGATTCCACTATTTCACCTAATATTGCAAGAATACAGTAGTAGGGATGGACACTCGATCCTATTTAGCCATTGCGCATGTCAATTAAGATTGCGCCCAGTGTTCCACTTAAAGTCTTGGCCTTTCTGTACTTGCAGTATTAAAATGAAATGTTGTGCCAGTATTGATAGGACTGTCAAAACTGTTTCTTTCAAGTTTGGGTTGGGTTACAGCCACCTCGTATCGCTCCTTATCGATAGCAACTGGAGGCGATCCGAGGTGGCAGAATTTACCTTGCAAAAAACCCCGTCAATCAAAGTAGTCACAATATCGCCGCAACATCGGCTTACAACATATGTTGACGTGACCTTGTTGTGAGCCGAAATTCATTACATCTATAGTTAAATTGTATTTGCGTTGCAGAAAAGTTCATGCCACGAGAAGGAAACTGGGACGAGTTAAGTTTTGCAAAGACTTCTGGGACTGTTACTAGGGACAGGGGAACAAAACTGGCCAATAGCTGACCAGCACGTCACCAATAACGATCCCAGAGATCTTTTGCACTAGGTAACTCGGCCCAGGGACCTGTTTCTCGAAAGTCCTGGTAACTTTACGAGCCCAAAAAGATGTTTAATGTTTGCCATATTTGCATTATTTATATTCAAGATCAAAGGTTGAATAATTTTGAAAATGAAACAATCACTTAACGAAACAAAATTGACTGGTTTGTCCTCTACTATTCAACAGATTGTTATTTAAAAATTTGCCTTTGGGCCCGTTAAGCCAACTAGCCTTTCGAGAAACGGGCTCTGTTTCTAAAATGGCGAATAGAAACATTGTTGTCATAATTTTATTTAAGTAGATACTTCCGAAGAAGAGGTGGAAACACGTACTGTATCTCAGAAAAGGTTGCCCACTTCCATTCGCCAGTTTCCTGACAAAGAAGGTTATCAAGGTAGGATTTTTTTAGGGATGTTACTAAAACGGGGAACGGGGAACGGGGAACGGGAAAATGAAAAACGGGATCAAAACCTAACTTGAACCCTAGCAACCTCGTTCCCATGTTCTCTCTCCTACCCCTCGAGAGTCTGTAGGGAAGGGTAGGAGAGAACTCTGGGAACGAGGTTGGAACCGTAGCCCTATCAGTACTTTTTCATTGCCAATTGTCTGTTTTGTTCCCATTTTTCATTTTCCCTTTCCCCGTGACTCGCTCCCTGTTCCCCGTTTCCCGTTCCCCGCACCCTTCACCCGGTTCCCCATCATAGTAGCATCCGATATTTTAGTATTGGAACTTAAGCAACTGGTTCTGTGCAGTTTATAATCATTCCCAGAAAAACAGTTGGTCAATTAAAGATGTTTTGATTGTAATAGTTTCGTTTTGATTGTTGTGATTCAAGGTTTAATTTTTCGTAACTTGCTCATGCTGACCAAACTTGGAATATTCACCTCAATAATTCTTCATATCATTGTCAGATCTCATCTAGCAATTGTTTATTATTTCATAACAATTAACGGCTTTACTTATTTCCGAAGTAGACGTATTTCCGACAGGCCGAGTAATTTATTTGTTTTTCCCTTCTTGCTTAGTCACAAGTAGTATAGTGGGCAAAAAAGTAAAATCAAACTGACGAGTAACAGGAACTTAGTAGAATTCAAAAAAGAGGAATATAGGAGCGAAAAATAGAATTGAGGAAGTAGAGAAATTGCTGAACAGAAATGCTTACAGTAGCTAGTAGGGCTAGGGTGCTTCCCATTTATTCTAAACCGACCGGTGCGACTAACCAACGGAAAATGGAACGATTACTCGATCCAAAGAAATTTTCCGGCGGTTTCATTGAAGACTTCCATTAAAATTTCGAGCAAAGTTTTGGTTACTTCTTCGTGTGTGTGTGAATGAAAACAAGAATTTATGTAAAGGAACCGCGCGGTACGTTGCCGTCTGACCGGATCAACGGGTCAAAGGGAACCAATTCCAGAGAAAAAATTCCACTCGGAACGAGTGTCTCGATCGAAATTTCCAGACAATTCGTCACAATGGAAAGCAAGTATGCCTTTGCCATTTATTTAAATACGCAGTATTTAGGGCCAAATACGTGAGCCGGGCTGGCCCGTTTTGCCGTTTTGCCGAGATCTCGGCACCCTAAATTCAACTTTCAAACTCGTTCCCAGGGTTGGCAGGGTTGTTCAACTTTGTGATTACATGACCATAGAGATAGCTCGGCAACTAGCCTCCCCGCAGACGTCCTTTGGGGTTCGTTTGTCACGCATTCATTTCTGAAATGAATGCGTGACAAACGAACCCCAAAGGACGTCTGCGGGGAGGCTACTCGGCAACTTGACAAAGGGTCCGAGCCCGGATCATGTAATCAGGCCCTTGCTCTAATAAACTAAAAAAAGACCCCCTACAAATCAATGAGATTCCTTCGCAAGAAAAACATAGGCACGTTTAACGTGCATACGCTATTTTGAATTCTTTAGTGTAACCGTACCAAGAATAATGAATCAACCTTTTTCGTCCTAAATGTTATTATAGACAGGTTGTGCGAAATTGGGTATTGCTGTACATGAATGAATACGCGAAACGCTCAGCTGACTCGATCCTCATGCTATACATTCACTGTCCTCTGTCTTTCCATAATACATCTGGTGCAAGTTAAGCGAAATTGTTAAAGTACATTAAATATCACTGTGAAAAACCAATCTGCACGAGATGTACAGTCATACAGCTGGCACGTGAAAGTGTTGGACTTTGCCCCCTTTCGTGCAGATTGGTTTTTCACAGTAACAATAGTGACTTGAACGTATGAAGACCTGCATCAACTCGCAGTACCTCCAACCTTATTGGCCCCTGCAACCCACATCCGAACAGACAAAGCCACAAAGCCACAAAGCCACAAAGATACATACGTTCATACCACTGACATATGAGCTATTTTTTCAAAATAGCTCAAAACTCAAAATTTCATGCTTTTTATACTTTTCCTCTCATTTTTACTTTCATGCGATTTCTTGGGGCTGCAGTCAAGGAGGGCGTTCCAACGGACGAAGATCTGGAACGCCTGTCAGTGAAAATTGAAAAGTGGAAACCGCTTGGGCGTCGGCTAAAACTTGAATCCTCAGAATTAGAAGCACTTCACAAGGACAACGAAGAATGGTCTGAGAAAGCATTTGCAATGCTGATGAAGTGGAAACAAAAAAAGGGTTCCGATGCTACTTACCGTTGTTTATATGATGCCCTCTGTCATGATTTAGTGAATCGGAAAGATTTAGCGGAAGAATTTTGTTGTAGCTGTTCTAAACCGGAAGGTTAACTGAAGTGTTGTAAATCATATTACAGGTGAGAATTTCAAACGTCTTATTTGAATACTCATTTTTTAACATTTCAGGTTTCAAAGCTTTTAACTCATGTAGAACTCAAGACCATTTACACTATCAATTCTTTGGTGGTGTAAATGGAAGGATGTGGAAATTAACCAAAAAAAACATGTCACGTGTTTTCATTTACACCGCTACTAAGGAAAACGAACAGGAAAACGTGTCCACTTTCTGGTAGAGTGGTTCCCTGTGAAGGGAGGGGATGGAAACTGAGGGGGGATGGAGTGGGGATGCCTTACCGCTTCTTTCCCTCTCCCCGTGTAGTAGAGGTAAAGCGAGCTTATATTGTGGAGTTTATAACATCCTTTTTGTAGTGACAACTTTAAACCTAGCGTAACAAGTGTTGTCTTTGTACAAGTATACTCCGGGACATTTTTAAAGTGTTTACTTTGTTTTGCGTGCGCCTAACATTGTTATGCGCAGGAAATGCGTTTCATCTGATTTCATTCAAAGCTTTTCGATAAGTAAGAGATGGAATGGTAACCGCGCCACAACTTCGACGGCACGGTTCATCCGTCTTATGTGAATCTGTAACAGGGCAAATTTAAAATGTATATCCGTCACGAATTTACTTGTACATTAAGACAGTAAACATACCAGACGGATTATCCGTCTTTAGGCTGAAAACTCCCTTTGGGTTTCATTGTTGATCGTTTTATTTAACGGCGGGTAGTAGTTAGTGATGGACTGAAATTTTTTCAGATCTACGTGACAAAGGACGTCAGCGAAAGAAGAGCGGTGAAAAGAAATTATCATAAAGCAGAGCAGATGACTGAAGGTACTCTAAATGTCATAACGTTACGTTAATTAGATCCATACGTAGGACAACAATACGCAGCATTACAGGTGTATTTTGTCCTGTTCGACCCGGTGGATAAAAACGTGTTTGTTCAAGAACCATGAGACTATTACAACTGGAACGGAGGCCCATCGTTCTTGAAAGAAACTGAGGAAGAATTATTTGCAATTTTTCACCATTGTACAAGACTCCACATAAAACGTATATTAATAAAAGAAAATCAGGAGATCTTAGAGCAAAGGTCCCTTACATGCACCCTTCTCCTGGTCTGTTGAGTAAATTTTCCGGGGTAGATATGTGATTATTACTCCTTGATAAGACGGAGACGCATCACATTGGTGAAGACGAAAACTTTGCGTATTCAAAGACCATACCAAATTGTAAATATATTATTATCTACTTCCCTCAGGGCTTTTCAGGGATAAATTACAACACTGGTTGGGGGACTTTTGACAAATTGCTTATGGTGCAGTTTACAATTAATGAGGTGATGAGTTCATGACAAGAGAACAATTCTCTTGGTTATGAATGCCCCCAAATGTGAATGCGAATTTAAGATAGACCTCTACATCGGGTACTACTCCCACCACATTTTACGAATAATGTGTGGCTTCTTTAACATCCCACTTAATATGCAAGGTTGCGAAACGGGGTCTACGGTTTATCTTTCCCATGCGAGAAGACTAGAAAGTCTAGCGGTTTGCAGATGTCATTGCAAAAGCAACAGGGTCTCCTTAGTTATTTTAAGACCCCGAGTGTTGGTTTGACCAGGATTTGAACCCTCGACCTCCTGCTTGGCATACCGGCGCTTATCCAACCGGGCAGCAGTATCGTCTAAAATCAGTGGCTTTCGCTATAACGCCATGTTTACTTTTATGATTTTTATTCTAACCTTTTCTCTCTGCAGCCGGTTTGGTTTTATCAGCAGCTGCTGCTTCTGTAGCTTATGGATTCAGCCATGGTCTGGCACCCATCAGGGGATACGCCCCTCTTCGTTCTTATTAACAGCATTCACGGCTCCTTCCCTGATCTCCACAATCATCATCAGCCCCGTCGACCATCTCTAACACTGGCGGACCCTTGGGTAGCGATCTTTAGCTCCTTGTTGGTTCTGACTTGTCTAAAGTTACACTGGACGAACCCGAGTTGAAGAGTTGGTTCGTGAAGGAGGTAATAAGGCCGCAACCTCGAAGCCTTTCTTGGATATTTATACTATTATTAAACAACAGTGTTTATGGCTCATCTTTACTGAAAGCAGCTCCAAGAATAAGTATTTTATTCGGTAACCAACTATTTGTTAGGAAAGTTGTCGAGCTTCGCTGGGTTGCAAAGTGGACAACTCAACGTTGAACTCTGACGTTTGTAATGAAGGGCGTTAGTCAGGAATCATCTTCACCGAGGATGCCGGCCTTTGTGAATCAGAGACCTCAAACTTGTTGACAGGATCGTCATTTAACTTAGGTGGGCTTTGAGGTTGTAAGACACAGTGAAGACAGTTGAAAGGATATTATTACAATCATTGATTAGTCAGGAACAAGTTAAGCGATATTATGAAATGGGGTTATGGGGTCGGTCAGATCAATGCAATATATAGGCTGCTGCTAAATATATAACGTTAGCTGGTTATCTCCCAAACATAGGCCGTAACATTTTGATATGTCAACATGTTGAAAAGCAATTTCTTTACTTATTTAAGTATAAACTGTATAAAGGTTTGAACTGAAGCTTCTGCGAGATAAAACCTTCGTTTTTTTGTATTCTTCACAGAAGACGACTGGCCACAGACTGAGATCCGGGAACGGCCCGTGCCCCAGTGTTTGTCCGCTAATCAGGAAAAGAAGCTGGGTTCACGAAACCTTCGTTGGATATATTTACTAGAAAGAGGTTAGGAGTATGGCTTTATAGATTAGTCCCCTAATTTGTTACAATATTATTGATGGCAGAGATATCCAGCTTCGCTGGTCTGTATGAGTATAATAACTATGCGTTTCCTCCTTACACCCGTAACGAAACGGAGAATGATTGACACTAAGTGAGAAAGGGCTCCAGAGAGATCGGTTTGACCGTCAGGTTTCACTTAAGCTGATCATTTTGCGCTAGTGTCCTGCTCTTTTTGGCTTCACGGTCAGATAGTTATTCCACAAACGCCGGCGGACGTACCCTAACAGGGATTTGCTGCATAAGCGTTTTAGTTTTAAAATTTGTCGTTTAAGATCTAAAGTTCTCTTCATATCTGTTCTCTAGCAGAGCCCGTTAGCCCAGGGCGACATACTTGTGTCCTTACAAGGAATCTTAGTTTCTGCAGAAAAAACCGAGCACTGCACATCCTGAATTTCATAGGTGCTGCACGTTTTTTTTTAGACTACAGCTTTACTTACATAGCTTTCTTGACGTAAGGGCCACTTCTTTGTTGATCATATATTCCTAATCGTCCAGAAAGTAAAAACCCTTATATGGTACACGATAGTTATTAGCTCCCTACCCGGACGTATTTTCGTACGTCGCGCAACACTTCATCTCAGTTTGGAAGGACTGTTGCATGACGAGCCAAACGTATGTTCGTGTAGGAGGCTAGATGAAAATGATATTGTTGTAAATTACGATACAAGTAGCTGAGTAATCGGCGAGAAGATGATCTGGCCACTCAGAGAAGATCACGCGTCTAAGGTGGTTTAGGGAAGAAGAAATTCTCCTTTTCACAACAAAGTGAATAATTTTCTTTTGGCTTGATTATTAGCAGGCTATGGCAGAGATGCGGAGAAACACTCGCCTCAGTACTTACGACGCCCCCAGTACTCACGACGCACCATCTCGTTTTCACGGTCCAGAAACCGTAAAGCCAGTTCAAGTGCCTCTATATCGTGCTGGTAAGGTTTCCAGTTATCTTTTGTACCCCGCCATCCCGTAGCTGAATTCTGACTGATTTAAACACCACTCCAGTGAGTCAACGAACAACACTCCACTCATTACCTATAAGAACCTGAAAAAGGTAGGGGAGGGGGCGGGGGTTACAAATCCCATTGTCCAGCCTTACATTTGGTCAAATCTTACTGTCCCATTTAAAGTTTGCCTCAAATGTTATTCATAATGGACCAACAAATAATAAAAAATAAAAGCTCAATCCCGTTTTTTCAGGCCAGAAATTGTCAAATCTCAATTCTCATTTTAGCCCTTCAGATCCCTCTCACTGCAGTATCATTACGTTTTTTGTGCAATCCTAATTTCTGCCTTTTTCCATCTGCAGCTGATGGGCCTGTTTTCTTCTGCCGTGCATAAATTCAACTACGACATGGCACCCTTCGGTGGATACCCCCTTTTTAATGTTAATCCACAGCAATACTCCTCCCCTTATAACATCACCTGTTATCACAGCGCCCCATCTGCCATCTTTGCCCCTGGGAGGTCCTTTTGTCTACCGTCACACATCCGCCAGAAATGCAGGAATTTTGGTCCCCTCATGGAATGCTGGGAAGGCCACTACATGGGTTTCAACCACAAACTACAATTCCATCGGTTTCTAATCTTAGAGGTTTGGGTGTGTCTACAATCACTCACCCGCCAAGAATCCAAGAAACGCCAAGACCACCACTCCATGGATTGCAACACCAAAGTACAATTCCAGACGTTCCGAATCGTGGTGGTTATGGTTTATCAACCGACACCCCCCAGCCACAAATCCCACTATTACGTGCCTCGTATGGGACGTCTGGTCCGTCACTGCGTGAAAAGCAACCGCACTTTTCATTTCCGACTGTATTTATTAATATTTAGATTTATTATTGAGATAATATTTATTAAAAGTTTTGGAGACAAAAACTCTGTTGTTCTGCAAAGCGATTTGTTTTGTTTTCGCCTGAAATAACATGGTTTTTCTAGAAGGGAGCTTTGACCTTTTTTTTGGCCCCAGTCCACACTTACCTGTTTTATTTAGAAACAGATCATTGTTCTCCGGAGAGGCCGCAAACCCGGCTATTCAAAATGCTCTTTTTCTTTCCAGATAAAATCGGCGATTTTGGAAAACGACGACGTAATATGTGCGGGCAAGAGCCATAATAGGACTATTATGATCTCTTGATGTGGGATAATAACAGGGAGTTTAAACAACGATGTTTTTGAGCGACGCGCGTCAACCGGAAGTGGACGTTTTGCAATCTTTGGCCGTGATTTTGATCAAATTGTTTAGCAGATTGTCTCCATCAGAGTAAAGACACTTAGCAATACAAATTTTGTAGCGTCAAGGCATATGTTAATAATATTTATTTAATAATATTTTAAAAAAGGAAAAAGGGCTCACTTCCACTTGACGTGCGTCGCTCAAAAGGGGAGGGAGGCCGGTAATCCAGACCCTTTAATAGAGGGGGAGGGGCGCGGTCTCCAAAAAACATTTTTTCGGCCCTTCGGGCCTCAGTTTGGTCTAAATATAAGGGGGGCGGGCCCCCCGGCTGCCTCCCCTGGATCCGCCACTAAACAATCTACTGCATTATGTATGATATGACCTTTTGTTATAACTAACAGCTTGTCGTAAGTTAAGTTTTCCTTTCAGGATAATTGTTTATTAAACTTATGCCAGAAGACGACTCAACGTAATCAGCAAGGCTACTGTAGTATTACTAACTAGCTATCTTGAAAATCGAAGACAGCCGGCGTTAACTAACTGAACAGAGGCTCAAAGTAACCGGGGAGGGGCACTCCGTCATATGCCTATGTTCTGAGGGACTGGCTTCCTTGATAGTAACAGGCAGTCAGCGTGTTCTTAAAGTTCTTTTTTTGTGGTTAGTAGGTCGGGAGGAGAAACTTTCCGCTACTTCGTCAACCCGCAAAAAATGTCGTTAACTATTCGCAAATTTTAGGCTTGCTCTGAAACTAACCGAAGTTCCACCTTATACCCTCCTGTCCATTCAGGAGCCCATAACCAATACAGTCGAAACTCTCCTTATGCTTACTTTTCTACTGCAGACATTTCTCTTGGCTCATCAGTACGGCGTAACAGGAGCCACAGTAATGGCCGGGAAACAGCTGTCTACGGCCGCAACCCTGCTCTGTTTTGAGGTTCTTTCGGTGTCGTGTTGCTGTCTTGCAAAGCTAATTTTCAAGTAGTACGATCAGCTTTGCAGAATTCGACGCGTCTACTTTGTATGTTTTTGCTGATCAGGTCTTCTCTAGATCCTACGTTCTATGGTATATTCCGCCGTTGACCGTGAGGAGGCTGACAGACACTTTCTTAGAGTTCTTTTTTCTGTAAGTTCTGACTTTTACTTTTCTGTTTTTCGGACAGCCTGCTTTTCGGGTGGAGAGAAGCGAAGACCGGAAACACGTCTGCGTTCGCAGGCTACCCTACAGCCGTGACGAGACAAAACAGACTGCGATCAAGACTACCTAACTGAAGGATGTTGAACAAAACCACGGAGGGTGTATCCGATCTGTTAGAGGATAATTCAATGTGCTGAAGAACTTCAATAAGCAGGGGCACCCAACAACTGTTTTCTGTAAAATATCTGCTTGGAGAAGCAAATATTTCCTCGAATGGTCTATTACTTGAGGACAACTAAAAATGTCTAGATGACCGTTCCATTCGAGTACAGTTTTCGAAGCTTATGTAGTAGATTCCCTAAGACTTTGTAAAGTTTAATTTTTCACATTTCACTGTCCAGGTTAAGCTATTTTTCGTTCAAAAAAGGAAACCTCAACTCTCGGATTCAGAAATGTGATGAAGTAAAATTCTTCCCTTCGCAAAACGTTAAATTGCATCTCAAGTTTTCGGGAAAATAATACTGAATCCCTCGTAACTTCGCAAAGACTCACGTTCCCCTAGGATGACCGAACAGACACAAATTTTATAGCGCCTCTTGAAGTGCATTTCTAGATATCTAAAAGTACTCTGGACAGCCCAAAAAGTGTTGTCAATGTACAGTCAAACACCGCTTGAAGGACACCCAGTTAGTACGGACAGTTTGCATGCTTTGTCCTTGGGGAAAGAAAGTTCTTATATTTTCTCTAAATTAACCCCGCTTAATACGGACACCCCGTTAGTACGGACACCTTTTATGGCTCCCTCAGTGTCCATATTTAGGGGGTTTGACATTATTTAAGAGGAAGAACTTTCCGCGACTTCGTCAATCTGCAAAAAATGTCGAACAGTCACTTTCGCAAATGTTTAACCGAAGTTCCAAGGTATAGCCTTTAACTGTCCCATTAGGAGCCCATAACCAAAACAGTCGAAACTCTCCTAATGCAGACTTTTCTACGGCAGACATTTCTCTTCGGATTCCGAGGTTACAAAACTTCATACAGTCCGAACCTGTTTATTAAATGCATGGTGACATCTTTTTAACGCAAGCGCGATAATGCGGACGTTTGGCTTCGTCCGGCTTGCCCATAGTAAAGAGGTTTGTAGATTGTACTCGTTTTGCGACTATTCCCATCGGCGCGTGACCATAATATATATGTTACCTCGCTCCCAGACGTTATATAACGTCATACATATCAACTAAGACAGTTATCTGTGCCACGTAGCAGGGTTCATTTCACATCTTCACATCGTCTGGTGCGGACGCCCACTTCTGGCTCCCGAACAAAGGTTTGTTTTATACATGATTTCCGTCAACTTCAAGTCTTTAAGGCATTACCTACTGATAATTTAGTGGTAAAGGACGTCAATGACTTTATAAATATGTAATGGTATTTTTCTTCCAAACTTGGCTAACTTATTTGTTCGCAATATCAAACCGTTTATGTTTACTGCTACTTGGCAGTGATTTTAATTTCTGGTTAACTCAGACTTTCCGCGTTTTCGTCCGTTTGTAAAATTAAGTGCAGGTAAGCAAGGGCTTCACTGATGTCTCTTTTTTCTGGCGTTCAGTTTTGACTCTGTGTACAAAGTCACCAGGACAGTCTCTATTTTCTATTTTTTCTATTTTCAGTCTCTATTTTCTCTGCAGTCTCGGGTTTTGTCAAATCCAGTTTGCACAAATGACGTAGATTCCCTTTTAACGATTTTAGCGTACACATTAAAGACTCCATAAAGGCGCTAAAGAAATATTTCGCCCATACTTAGAACAAAGGACCTTTCAAGATCAAAGAGTCGTGAACGTGAAAGCATGAACGCTATTTACGGAAGATGTCGAAAATTATGTAATTTTATCATCTGCAGTGTAGGCAGTAGAGTGAACCAAGCAAAATGAGATAACATGACATAGAACTGCTGTGTTTCTAATTCTTTTTCGCTGACTCTTCTGGAAAAGATTCGCGTGAGTTATTCTGTTTTATCAGTTTCATCCAGACGCGACGGATAAAGGTTCCACCCACTTCCGTTCACGCGATATTACTCTGGTGCCAATTCATCAGTTTTTTCTCTCTTACTTCTAGTGTCTTCACGGGTTTTTACTTTGCTTCTAGTTGGAAAATTTTCTCATGGGAAAAATGAGCAGAAAAAATTTACATGAACTGTTCATTTTTATTGACCAACTCGTGAACGTCTTGGACGCTATTCGCGACATCATGTGTCAAGTCTTGACCTCTTCTTTCAGACTTCTTAATAATCTAGGCTTCTGTTTTCCCAGTTCTGAACACACTACGCCAATATTGAGGGTGTACAATAGGGGTTCTCAAATCCCGCTTTCCCGCCTTTTTTCTTCTGAATCCCGCCATCCCACTCTATTTTACGCCTGAATCCCGATCCCGCGCCATTTTGTTACGAGATTTTTTGTTTGATTATTGAAATAGACGTTATACGAGACTTACCTTCTAACAATTGTCAGTTTTGATGGTCAAGGTTCTCAACATCACAATACGCGACCGCAACTTTATTTTCTGTTTTGCTTATTTTTTCGTCCGCGCATCGGTACATTTTTACTACGATATTTTAAGT